ATGCAATTGCAAATCTTGCATTACCGTTTGCGTTTTCGCTTTCGCGAACGCACAGTGACTGCCAAATTTCAAATGAAAAAGTCCATTTGCAACTGTATTTTCTATGTCTTACGAGCTATGAGCCTGTCATATTTAAATAGCAATATTAATTACCACACTCTAAAAAATGCTGGGTTGTTTCAACCCAACTTTGGGTCAAATATGGACTAACCCAACCGTTGGGTTACATTTTTACATTAAATTTTTAACCCAAAAGTTGGGTTAGTCCATATTTGACCCAAAGTTGGGTTGAAACAACCCAGCATTTTTTAGAGTGCACGTCTGCTTTTTTATTATTATTTGCAATTATTATTTTGGTAAAATAATTAACATTTTGCAGATTCTGCAAGGTGTACGTAAACTTTTGACTTCAACTGTATATAGTGTTTGAGCCCATTCGGTACAGAAAAAAATAACAATATTTACATATGATTTAGTTTATTTATAACTGACACCTACATGAACACTTTACAGTTGGTTTCATGACTGTTAGTCATTCTCTTCAAATGCTATTGAAGTTAGAAAAGTGTATACCAATGTCGTATGTAACTTTAGAGACGGTCCCTAAATTTGCGAACATCGAACGTCCAAAGTCAAGCCAACTTTCTTCCAGTAAAAGATCTACTTTGGGTCAAATATGGACTAACCCAACCGTTGGGTTACATTTTTACATTAAATTTTTAACCCAAAAGTTGGGTTAGTCCATATTTGACCCAAAGTTGGGTTGAAACAACCCAGCATTTTTTAGAGTGCACGTCTGCTTTTTTATTATTATTTGCAATTATTATTTTGGTAAAATAATTAACATTTTGCAGATTCTGCAAGGTGTACGTAAACTTTTGACTTCAACTGTATATAGTGTTTGAGCCCATTCGGTACAGAAAAAAATAACAATATTTACATATGATTTACAGTTTATTTATAACTGACACCTACATGAACACTTTACAGTTGGTTTCATGACTGTTCATTGAAGAGTCATTCTCTTCAAATGCTATTGAAGTTAGAAAAGTGTATACCAATGTCGTATGTAACTTTAGAGACGGTCCCTAAATTTGCGAACATCGAACGTCCAAAGTCAAGCCAACTTTATTCCAGTAAAAGATCTTGAAGCAGGCACGACACTCTCTCTATTACAGATTAAAAGTGAGGAATAAAATATACAGTAATAAGTGTAGAATTGCACTGTCTGTTTACTCACATCAATCGGAGTGTAAACCGTGAGAGTTGTTGAGACGGGTGAAAAGCGTTTGGTTAATAGTGAATATTGACCTGTTGTGCGTACCGTTGTGGCTCTTAACCGCTGTCAGCAGGGGATAATCGCAGACGGTAATGCAAGATTTGCAATTGCATTTGGATTATGTCCCAATTTATGCGTCCACATATGGAAAACGCAATCGAAAATACAATTTGCAATTCCTTTCAAAAATAGTCCTGAATATTCTTCCATAACATACAGTAGAGGATTCATGTATGTATATTGATTATTTGTGCATTGATAAACATAACACCACTTTTTTTTAGATGGCAATTTGGGCTTTTCTGGTCGAGTCACTGTGTGTTTGTGACACTGTGTGTAGTTTGAAAGCAATCACCACTGGTCTGATTAGTCAGCTTAATGAGCTATATTCAATGACCCGGACATTATGAGCGAGTTGTAACGATTACCAAAGAAACCGTTTCATACTAGCACTCATTCAATGACTTTGGTTAATAGTGAATATTGACCTATTGTGCGTACCGTTGTGGCTCTTAACCGCTGTCAGCAGGGGATAATCGCAAACGGTAATGCAAGATTTGCAATTGCATTTGGATTATGTCCCAATTTATGCGTCCACATATGGAAAACGCAATCGAAAATACAATTTGCAATTCCTTTCAAAAATAGTCCTGAATATTCTTCCATAACATACAGTAGAGGATTCATGTATGTATATTGATTATTTGTGCATTGATAAACATAACACCACTTTTTTTTAGATGGCAATTTGGGCTTTTCTGGTCGAGTCACTGTGTGTTTGTGACACTGTGTGTAGTTTGAAAGCAATCACCACTGGTCTGATTAGTCAGCTTAATGAGCTATATTCAATGACCCGGACATTATGAGCGAGTTGTAACGATTACCAAAGAAACCGTTTCATACTAGCACTCATTCAATGACATCACAGTAATTGCCTATGGAAGTTAGTCTATAGATGCAATATTTTATTTAAAACAAATGAAAACCAGGCTTTGAGGGATATAAATGTAATTTGTGAACATTAACACACGTCTATCCCTTTACAACCCTTTTTTATTCTCATCAAGTTGAAAAAAATGACACTCTTAACCTTTAAGCTCATTTCTGATTAAAGTACTTCTCTTAAAATGCTAGTGGTTCCAAAATATGCTTTGTTTTCTGTATGCAGAAATATAATTTCTAATATGTTCTTTTGATTTTGAGGTGAAATGTGGCCAACTTTTTTGTCATTAAAATAAAACATTTGTTTGTGTCAATTATTTATTTATTATTATTTATTATTATTATATATTATTTATTTTTGTTTTTGTATATTCTAAATATTTGTGCAAAATATAAATTCTGATTTTTTTCTTTTGAATTTGTGGTGAAATGTGGCCAACATTTTATTGTATGTAACATAAAAATGTAATGTAAAATAATTTATTTATGCAACATTTTATTTATGCAAAATATTTATGTTTCTTATATATTTTAATTATTTATGCTAAATATCATTTCTTATTTATTTCTTTTGATTTTGTGGTGAAATGTGATCAACGTTTTATTTTGGTGTCATTGTGGCGTCATTTATTAAAAAATTGTATCCAAAATATTATTTTTTTATTTTTTTTATGATTTTGTGGTGAAATGTGACCAGATTTTCATGAGATTTGCCCACATGCATTACTATTTTGTATTTGGACATGCTGCATGTAAATTATGTCTGGCATTTTGCAAATTTTTTTTATCAAACAAAATTATTTTAAAAACAGTGTGTTCTGGTTGTATACTGCACGTTTTTCAAAATTCCAACATATAAACTCAAAATTGTAAAATGAAAAATGTCATTTGTGAACGTTAACACACGTCTGCCCCTCACAACCTTGTTTGTATTCACGTCAAGTTGAATAAATGCTCTCAAACGAGTCAATTGTATCTGCCACAAACTTGTTCTTTTCAATCTCCTCTCTTTCTTAGATGCAAGATAGACGAGGAGGTCACTCACAAGGCGTGGTTGAACCGCTCCAACATCTTATTTACGGGCACAGATAAGTGGTCCCTGGACTCACGCGTCTCCCTGGTGAACAACAACAACAGCGACTTCTCCATTAAGATTGAGCAAGTGATGGTGGCAGACGAGGGACCCTACACATGCAGCTTCCAGGCCAAAAACCAGCCCCGTACGGCCCACGTCTACCTCATCGTTCAGGGTATGTTCATCTGCCTGCCGCTTAAAAGTGATAATTTTGCGTCACTAATGAACACAAAAAATAATTGCAATAATAAAGAAAACATGCAAATGCAATAGGGGCTACAGCCCCAAAAAATATGAATGGTTTCTAAAACAGGTTTCCTCCCATTTCAGTTGTCCAGAAAAATAAGTAATTGGCAGAAATGTGTGTAAATTTAGTGATCAGAATTTCAATAGAAGCCTGTAGAAAAAATAAAAATATAAAAAAAAGTTGCCAGTAACCAATGTTGCCAAATTTAAATCTGACGCATTTAGTTTACACTACTGTACAGGTGCATCTCAATAAATTAGAATGTCGTGGAAAAGTTCATTTATTTCAGTAATTCAACTCAAATTGTGAAACTCATGTATTAAATAAATTCAATGCACACAGACTGAAGTAGTTTAAGTCTTTGGTTCTTTTAATTGTGATGATTTTGGAAAAATACTGTAAAAAATATGAAATTGTTACAATTTAAAATAAAGGTTTTCTATTTGAATATATTGTAAAATCTAATTTATTCCTGTGATCAAAGCTGAATTTTCAGCATCTTTACTCATGTCCTAATTGAACTATGGCCTAATCCTGGTTTAGGCTAAGCCCTGTCTATAAAACCGGGCCTATATCTTAAAATTGTGACAATTAATGTCAAAATTGTGAGATATACTGTGTATGAACTGCTGTTTAAAAGTTTGGCATCAGTAAGATTTTTTAAAATGTTTTCTGCTCACCAAGGCTGCATTTATTTTATCAAAAATTGTAAAATCTAATTTATTCCTGTGATCAAAGCTGAATTTTCAGCATCATTACTCCAGTCTTCAGTGATCCTTCAGAAATCATTCTAATATGCTGATTTCACATTTTTTTCTGGAAACCGTGATTTCTGCAATTTTTTTTTATCATTTGAAGAGCAGAAAGATAAAAAAAAAACATCATTTGAAATAGAAATCTGTAACATTCTAAATGTCTTTACTGTCACTTTTGATCAATTTAATGCATTCTTGCTGAATAAAAATTTTAATTTATTTTAAAAACTTGATAGCGTAAATTCACAACCATGAGGAAAAAAATCAGAATCAAAATTCCAACATATAAACTCAAAATTGCAAGAAATAAAGTCCAAATTCAGATAATATATAAAGTCATAATTACTGTTTTTGTTTTTATGCAAATATAATTTCTAGTTTTTATTTTGAATTTGTGGTGAGATGTGACCAGGTTTTCATGAGATTTTCCCATACATCACTTAATTTTGTCTGGACATGATGCATTATGTAAATTTGTGCATCTATATATGGCATTTTCCAAATTTATTTGATCAAACAATATTCTTTTAAAAACATTATGTGTTCTGGTCGTATACTACGCAATGTATTGACCAATGTGGTACCAAAGCATAAAATTGCAGTGCAGTCTTGTTTAATGCATAAAGTTTGGCATCAGATTTTTTAAAATGTTTTCTGCTCACCAAGGCTGCATTTATTTTATCAAAATACTGTAAAAAATATGAAATTTTATTACAAAGTAAATTTGTGCATCTATATATGGCATTTTCCAAATTTATTTGATCAAACAATATTCTTTTAAAAACATTATGTGTTCTGGTCGTATACTACGCAATGTATTGACCAATGTGGTACCAAAGCATAAAATTGCAGTGCAGTCTTGTTTAATGCATAAAAAGTGCCTACTGTACACAGTACTTCATACTGCAGAAGCATGCAGTTATGAAAATAGTCTTAGTGATTTACAGCTCTGATAATTACATTCACAACAGGGTGATAATTGTCAACACGTGCCATGATGTTCTCCTTTCTGCCATGGAACTCATACGAAACAATTGCACAAATGAACATTTCCTCGAATCCCGGTACCAAAGAAACAAGAGGGGCTGGCACAGATGTGATCAGGATCCGAGGGGTGGTTATGCTCAGTAATCTTCCAGAAGGCCTTTAGTTGACCGGTTGTGCGGGGCGGGACACGGGCCGTGCCGACTGTCACGTCAGCAGCAACATGAGTAAGAGGTCCTGCGATCCAGCCTGACGCGATCCGCTGATGGATTGCCTGCATCCCTCCCTTTACTCCAACCCCGCCGGCTGAAAGTTGTCAATCGTTATGTATATGGCGCCGTGCGTGGTGCATTCTCCTATTGCACAAGATTGAAAATATCAAAGCGAAGAAGTGCGAAAAGGAGGGGAAGCATTTTTAAAATGCATCTCGAGTATGTTGTTGGCCAACCGGCAGGCTCGCCAAACACAGGCTTTTATCTGCCGCACGGAGCTTTGCAGACAGATGACCATATTTGCTCGATACCATTGTGCCCTCAATTTTAGTCTTAGTGCGATATGAGCGAAAATAATTACACCCCCCAGTCACTCCTCCAACAGCAATGGATCTGCTTTGGTTCCAATCTTAAGTTTATCGGAAGTATTCCGCCCTGTTAGAAACCTGAAAAATGGACTGCTTGAGAATGCCTCGCAGGCCAAATTTGTGGCCATCTTCATTAAAGCTCTGATCATAGGCCATTTAAATTCAAGGGCCGGCTCATTATCCGGCCGGCATTATGCATTGCCCTCTGCTTTGGGAATTTAATCCAAAACAGCTGATTGGAATCATTTATAACCCCTGAAACAAACAACCCGTCTCCAGCAAATTTATTCGGCTAAACCATGGTTGATTTTTGACATCAGTCAAGACGTGATATATTCACTCTGTTATTATTAAGCATAATTAAAATCACTTTTGCAGTGCCGGCCCGGATAGTGAACATCTCGCAGGATAAATCGGTGAATGAAGGCGATGACGTCAATCTTTTTTGCCTGGCGGTGGGCAGACCAGAGCCGACCGTCACCTGGAAGGACTTCAGATGTGAGTCTCTTCTGTCATTTTTGTCAGTTTGTTATACTGTAAATGAAGGTCAAGTTATGCACATTGCATTGTGGGATACTGTTTACACAGCTTAGTGTGTTCTGAACTTTTATTTTGGTGGAAATATGTTATGAACATGAAACGGGAACACAAAGAAAATGCATCATTTTTATCACCACATTTTTAATGTGTTTAGTCTTATTTAATTTTTTTATTTAGATTTTTCGGATGAAATGTGATCAGGTTTTCATGATATTTTCTATTTCTATGCTACATATTTGTATTTATATTTAATTTATGCAAAATTTAATTTCTTATTTTTTCCTTTTGATTTTGTGGTGAAAAGGTTTTCGTGAGATTCGGCCACATCACTTAATATACTTTTTTTTCTTTATGCAATTATTTTTTTTTTTTTTACATGACCAGGTTTTCATTCGATTTTTCCGCATACATCACTTAATTGTGTTTGGACGTGCTTCATAACAAAAATGTTACATGTAATTTTGTGCATGTACATGTATGGCATTTTCCAAATGCTTTTAATCAAACAATATTCTTTTAAAAACATAGTGTATTCTGGTTTCATACTGCACATTTTGACCAATGTTGTATGGGTATCTCATGTATAAAAGGTGCATACTGTACACAGTATACTAGAGAAACAATAAGAGTAGCATGCAATTATGAACATAGTCTTGGCGATTTACAGCTCAGATTTCATTATAAATAATTATAGCCACAACCAGAGTGATAATTGTCAACATGTGCCATCATCATCATCTTTGTCACCATTATCATTCCTGCCACAATATTAATAATCACAGTTATCAATAATCATACTATTTATAACTTTCATTACCGTTTATATTAGCTGCATTCATTTCGAGTGGCTGTGATGAAATGCATAACAGGAGAGGGCATTTTTTATTTAATCTTTTCACGATATGATTACAGGACGGTGGGGATCATCATTTACTGTCATTTATTTTTCAATTGATCCTTAGTCCTTTGAAATCAACTCAAGAGTCCCTCTGCCTGGAAACGGACCAGCGTCACATGAATGGAGCAGCTGAGCTCAGATACTAAACCTCTAGTGTGTCTATGTAGTGTACACTCACTATATCTGTGTGCTTATTGTACGCATTCAAGTGATCTGGTCACAAATGGTCAGCCAAGCACATCGTCTTTTACGCCTGGTATTCACATGCATCTCAAATCCGTCCAGTGACCACTTACAATTATCAAGGGAAGGGTCTTTGATTTCATGAAAGCATATGATTGATGTTGAACATGCAATGCATTTTCCATACCAAAAATGACAGTGCATTGGGGATACACATTTTATCAGGCGGTGCATTTCTTGGGAATCAAACCTATGACATTGGCACTGTTAACATCATGAGCTACAGGAATGCAAAAGTAAAAGCATAATTCACAATTAAGAACATTTTTTCCTAGAAATTCTCATTTCTATAATGCCAAAAATATACCATAATATAAAAAGCGATTTATTGTTTAAACTTATTAAAATATATACAGTATGGTTGTATCTGTTAATTTATTCTGAAAAAATTATTATATTTTTTATATTATATTTTTACTGTATATTTTTGTATGTGTATGTATACAATATTTGTTTGACTGCTTTGAGGCAGTTGTTATGAATAATCCGATAGTTTTTTTTTTTTCTATTAAGTTCAAAATAAAAATAGATATAAATAAAATATAATAAAATAAAATGTAAATGTATAAAATGTATCATTATTTTACATATTTATATATTGTTACATTTATTATTTATTACGTTACATTTATATATATATATATGTATATATATGTGTATATATATATATATATATATATATGGAAATATGCGTAATATTTATAAAAATGCAAAAAGAAGGTTTAAAAGTAAATTATTTGTTTATTTTTTATATTTGTTTTTTAACTAATTTTATTTATGCAAAATTCATAAATAATTCATAGATTTTATTTTATTTGGGGGGTGAAATGTAACCAGGTTTTCGTGAAATTTACAGCACAAGGAAATTTACAGCACATGGTGCATACATTTTTTTTTGCATGTATATGTATATGTGCAGCCTTTACCAAATGTTTTAATCAAATGGTTGAAAAAAAATTTTTTACATTTTTTTTAAAAGCAAAGTTTAAAAATAATTTTTAGTCACAGTGATTATGTGTCACATGAGTGGTTGGGGATGCAATGTTGAGATGTGTAAGCATTTAAACTTACAATGAAACGTTAAGGCAGTCTTGGCAATATGTATTGGCAATTTAACATATTGGACTTTTTTTGTTAACACTGATCAGATCATTTGAGATGGATGTTAATACCAGGTGTAAACAAGGTCAAGGTGACCTAGTTATATTTCTTTGCTATAAAATGTGTAGAATGTGTCAACCGAAGGGATTTTGCTGCTTTGAGTCTTTAGTTTTAAATATGAATAATCCGATCTATCGGTTTGTGTCCATTAAATACAAACTAAAAGAGATTTTAAAAAATCTAAAAGTATAGCTGTAAAATATAAATAAATAAATAATGTATCATATTGCATATATTAATTATTTTTTTCCATTGAAATCTCAGCAAAAATAACCACACTGTGACATATACCATTATCATGATATAAACTTTCTCCTACTCTGCATATAATTGTAGTCATAGCTTGTCTGCAGATCTTTCGGTCTGCGCTTTTCCCCACTCAGCACTTCCTCTGCACCTCATAACCCACCGGCACGGCAGAAATAAAGAGAGGGGCGTAAAGCGAGACAGAAAGAGCCACATTGTTATTCAGCGCGAGTCACTGCGGTGGAGCTATTGGTTGTCAGCAGCCGGGCGAGAAATTGGGCGTGTAGATTCGGCCAAAGAAACACAAAGCCATCTGGACCTGTACATCACACTGTGGGGAAGCAGACAGGGTGCGATGACATCACAATCACACACCTGACGCTCCGTTGACAGGTGACACGCCCACTCCGTCGACTGGCTTACGGCTCACATGCACATCCATGAGGATTGAAACCAGCATTAATCATGCGTTCGATGGGTCAGTTTCATTCATCATTAGACCGGCCACCCACACACAGTCTGTCCTGTACATGTTAACTAGCAGATCCAAGCTGCGACATGCGCACATAGATGCTCATGTTAGTGTCCACAGACATGGACAGAGACAGCTGGATGCAATGTCATTCAAGGTGACAGCAGAAGATCTATTGACTAGTGAGGCTTTTTTCTGAGTCTCACAACCGATTTATTCGTATCTCATAGAATGTAGATATAATCCTAACAGGATGATGGTTGATTCCTGTGAACACTGAGTACCTTTGTGCAGCATAATCCTCTCTAATGTGATTTCTGAAATATAGCTGCATTATGAGACTCACATTTATATTAAGAATGCCTTTAACCCTATAAAGCCTGCTGTAGATTTGATGCACATATTTCTAAGGCCTCTAAATGATCAACATGATAAAACGTTGCTGAAAAACCTTATTGGCGATAATGAGCGACAGCTGAATTGTATATTATTTTATGTAAATAGTCTGCTATACTGTTATAAAGATCTCATTGTTTTGTTGCTGTTGAGATTTTTTATTTATTCATTTTTTATTTATATTTTTTTTGCATACAAATATCAGCATCTACGTCAAATTGCATATTTTTGCTCAGTTTGGGCCTCTGAATAAAATATTGTTTTTTTCTAACCATATTCCCAGTATATCATAGCCATAAAGCCTTATACATACATATATTTAAAAAAAAATTTATGATAATATATATATATATATATATATATATAAATTTTGGCCATATAAATATCAGCATCTGCACCAAATTGCACAATTTTTAAATTTGGTCCTCTAAATAAAAGATTTTCATCCATATTCCCAGTATATCACAGCCATAAATATATCATATTTGTCTAAAGGTTCAATAACCAGATTTTTTTTTACTAATATGTCAGGCTTTATATGGTTAAATTCCAGTTGAATTGCAGAATTGAAATTGAGATAGTAAACATAATGCAGAATTGGAATGTAACAAGCAAATTCCAAGACATTCATATAAATGTCATTTTTAAATAATAAAGCAAAGTCGATAGATAGATAGATAGATGGATGGATGGATGGATGTTTGATTTGATTCCATCCAGCCATTATAAGTGTTTCTAAAGCTGATTTTGTCACTGAAATTTTCCAGTTGCAGCGGAGCACAAATGCGTCTGGCCACATGGGAATGCGCTTGTCACAACTGTGAGAAATAAATACAAATAGCGTCTACTTAGTAAGCATCTCAGCTCGAAGCGTGCGAGACGTACCAGTCTCTTTACCTGTAAACCCTCTTTGTCAGGATAAGATGATTTTTCCCCCCCAGTGGGTTGAGACGGGTGCTCACACGGCCTGACGAAGATGTCACGGGGGAACGAACGATATTTATTACGCTAATGGAATGAGTGAATAACATTGCTGTAAACCTTAGCGTGTACTCGGTCGGTGGCGTCGGCAGCTGCAAATAATCCTCTCCAGTTCAGTAGCTGTGCTAATAATCCTCCGGAATAATCTTCAATTAGAAAAGGTGCCGAATTTGTGGAATAAAGTCCCGGCGGTTGTGAATTAAAAGGTGTGCGGTTGCCTTTGTGTTTTCCGTCTCTCCATTGGCTGAAGCCAGAGAGATACTACTAAGAAGTGGATTATTCTTGTTGACACTGAGAGAACAGTTCTGACTGTTATAGATGAAAATGGTTGCATGAGAAAGCTAGCGTGAATCTATAGAAGCCCATTTCCAACACGGGATAGAACATACAAAAGATAATTCCGACTTTCTATCTCACAATTCTGACTTTTTTCTCACAATTCTGTTATAAAGAATTATGGGATATTAAATCACAGTCAGTAAAAGTCAGAATTGCGAGTTATGCCAGAATTGCGAGATATAGACTTGGAATTGTGAAAAATAAAGTCAGAATTTTGAGATATAAACTTGCAATTTTGACTTTTCTCGTAATTGCGAGTTTATATCCCACAGTTCTGACTTTTTCCCGCAATTGTATATTTCGCAATTCTGACTTCTTTTCTGACAATCGAGATTGTCTCTTAATTCTGACATTTTTCTCGCAATTGCGAGTTTATATCCCGCAATTCTGAATTTTTTCCAACAATTGTGAGTTTATATCTACCAATACTGACTTTTTTCATGCAGTTGTGAGTTTTTCTCACAATTCTGACTTTTCACTCAATTGTGTGAATTTGTTACTTTTTCTTGCAATTGCGACTTTTTTTCTTGCAATTGCAAGTTTATATCATGCAATTCTGAATTTTTCTTGCAGTTGCGAGTTTAATGCAATTTATAAACTCAATTGTGTTATGAAGTCCAATTCTGAAGGAAAAAGTCAGCTTACAATTTTCTTGTGCAATTGCATGTTATAAAGTCAAAATTGTGAGATGCAAATACGCAATTCTAAGAAAAAGTCAATATTGAAATTCTAACTTCTTTGAATTGCATGTTTATATCAGAATTGTGAGATGTAAACTCAATACTGTGAGAAAAAAAAGTCAGAGTTGTGAGACATAAACTCGCAATTACAATAAAAAAGATTTTTGAGATAAAAAGTCGCAGTTCCCTTTTTTATTTTTTATTCTGTGGCAGAAACAAGCTTCCAAATGTATCTGTTCTCGCTGTCATTGTTGTACTAATAATAGTCACTTTCATCACACAGAGGCAAATCCACCCTTGTCCTTGTTACTACAGATTTGTGTTGTTGTCTGTTTCGTCTCGCTAAAGGGAAAGAAGTGCCTTAGAGGTGCGAGACAGACTTTTTGTAGTTCACAATGGCCGGTAAATAAAGCTCACTGAATTCCCCAACACACGTTCTATGATATTTATCTGAGAGCGACGCAGACTTGAGTTTCTTATCAAAGCCTTTCAGTTTATTCCGTGGACTGTTTGTCACTCGCCTCCGCTCTTGTTAAATAAATACATTTTATTCTGTTGAAATTAATTTTAATCAAGGTGAAGTATGTGGTTTCTGCTCCACTGGAAGCACCAAACAGAACTGCAAACATAACTAGGAAAGGAAAGTTCATCGTATGAATTTGAGCTTGAAGTCTGAAGGTTATATAAGTGTAGTTTGAGGAGAGATGTGAAGTGTGAAGGTTATATAAGGCCTGTGCCGTTTGACAGCAGTCTTTATATAGGCTCTGCATTGATATGTGGTTGCAGGTAGTGGTTATTTTGAGGGGTTGCTTGGGTGCACATTTCCTAATGTCTGTGTGATATCTGACTTTTTGCTAAGATGCTCTGAGTGGCTACTAAGCAGTTGCAAAGAAAATGCATATAGATAGACCAAAAGACAATCTTCGGTTCAATGTGATTAAGACATCACTAGGTGGTTGCTAAGGTGTTGTAAATAGTTGCTAGGTGGTTGCTAAGGTGTTTGATTGGTTGCTAGAATGTTGCTAGGGCAATGCTTAGAAAGAGAAGGCATATACAGTAGATAGACAAAGACTGTCTTCTGTTCAATGTGATTGCTAAGTAGTTGCTAGGTTGCAACTTTATTGTTGCAAAGATGTTCTCAGTGTTTGCTAGGATGTTGCTAGGTTCTAAATTGTTGCTTAGGTGTTTTGATTGGTTGCTAGGGCAATGCTTAAAAAGAGAACGCATATAGGTAGACAAAGGCAATCTTCTATTCAGCATGATTGCTAGGTGGTTGCTGAGGTGTTCTAAATAGTTGCTAGGTGGTTGCTAAGAGGTTCTAAGTAGTTGCTAGGTGGTTACTAATTTATGTTCCTCATTCATAAGTCACTTTGTAACTGTGACTTATTCATAGGGATTTTGATCACTATTGAGTGGTTGATAGGTTCTGAGTTGTTGCTTGGGAGTTGCTAGGCAGTTGCTAAGAAGTTCTAACTAGTAGCTGTGGCTACGGTGTTTTAAATAGTTGCTAAAATGTTGCTAGAGAGTTGCTAGGTAGTTACTGAAGTGTTCTAAGTGGTTGCAAGGCTGTTGCTAAGGTGTCTCGAGTGGTTACTTGGATGTTGCTAGGTTCTAAATTGTTGCTAGGAAGTTGATAAAGTTCTAACTGGTTTATAGGCTGTTGCTAAAGGGTTTTGAGTGGTTGCTAGGTTCTGAGTTGTTGCTAGGGTGTTGCTAGGCAGTTACTAAAAAGTTCTAACTGGTGTGTAAGCTGCTGCTAAGGTGTTTTAAATAGTTGCTAAAATGATGTTGCTAGGTGGTTACTAAAATGTTCTAAGTGGTTGCAAGGCTACTGCTAAGGTGTTTCGAGTGGTTGCTTGGATGTTGTTAGGTTCTAAATTGTTGCTATGAAGTTGCTAGGCAGTTGTCAAAGTTCTAACTGGTTTATAGGCTGTTGCTAAGATGTTGTTGCTAGGAAGTTGCTAAATGGTTGCTAAGGTGTTCTAAGTGGTTGCAAGGCTGTTGCTAAGGTGTTTTGAGTGGTTACTAAGCAGTTAATAGGGCGTTGCTTAGAAGTAAAGCATATACTGGAGATAGAAAGTGTAAAATTGTTTACTAAAAAATGTGAATAAAAGTAAATATAAAGGTTTATATTAAAGTGCCCCTATTATGGGTTATGAAAGGTTCATATTTTGGTTTTTTTGAGCCCCCAACAACAGGTTGACATGCATGCATGGTCAAAAAACACTTTCATTGTCTTATAATATCCATTTATTTTTACCTTATTTGCTCAAGGACTCCCAAACGATTTGCTCAACGATTAATTTTTCCAAACCCCTCCTTTGCGTGACGCTAATCTGCAGTGATTGGTCCGATTGGTCTCATTTTCATTTCATTATGCCTGTAATGGTGGCACCTACACTTTCAGATTTAAAACTTTGCAGGATGTTTTCATTCACTTAGAGCTGTGTTACACACTGCATTAAAGGTAATTTTCAAAAATCCATAATGGGGGCACTTTAAATATAAATGTTTGGTCATCTATTGCAAAGGTTTTTGAGTGGTTGCTAGGATGTTGCTTCCAAGAAATTCCATAGTTGCTATGCAGTTGCTAAGCAGTTTTCTAAGAAGTTCTAAATGGTTGCTAGGCAGATTTTATATACTGTATATATAGTAAGGCAAGTTGATATTATGATCATTTTTTTCCAAGCACATTTTACCAATTCCAAACCACATCAATCTTAATAACTACTATCATTTGTGTATTTAATCATGGTTCCTGATGGTTTCACACCTAATTATTCACCTTAATTCCTAATTATTTTGCAGTTAACTGTCTTTTCTTCTCCACCTGTTTTTTGTGACCACACTGTCCCAATGAGCATTTTGCCATCCAATGGTCATGCCTTAACATTGCAAATTCTAGTATTGCATTAGTGTTGCATCCTTCTCATGAGCATTTAATAATTTTTGACTTTCAGTCTGAGTTCAATATCTTTTTTTGGCTCAATGTATCTGTAAAAGGAAACCTGCCTAATAATTATGCACACCTGAGGAGTTTTTTACTTCCAGCCTTCATGGAAAATTATATATCACTTATAAATAATTAAATACAAAATGAATAGTAGTTGTTCAGATTGATGTGGTTTGGAATTGGTAAAATGGAATGCTTGGGAAAAAAAATATGATCAGAATATCAACTTGCCTATGTTCTCTTGCCTATATATATATATATATATATATATTATATAAGAGATTAGAGTTCCATTCAGTGCCACTAGTGGTTCAGAAATGACACACTTCACCTTGAACACTGTTGAAATAAACTTAAAATTTAAAAGTGGTTAAATGGTTTAGTCGTGTTAGAGGAGGTGGTGTAGTGGTTAAAGATCACTGAATTCCCGTGCCGCCATTGCGCTCCAGGGCAAGACATTCAACAGCCGTTTACTCCAGCAGGACCGTCCCTTGTGGTGCGCCGACCAAAAGTCGGTTCGGATAAAGAGTGTCCGCTACATGATGAATAAGGAAAGTCATTCCCGTGGTTCCTGCTGCTGTGTCCTCGGGCCTTTTTTGTTTAACATGATACTCTGGAACAATGCTGCTGCTTCTGGAACACCTATCAACCCAATTACACTAACGTATAACATTCTGCGCCACGGCGCCAGTATTCAGTCACCCTCTCGTCTTTTGTCTTCACAGACGGTCTCATGAGCGAAGGCGAGTTTCTGGAAATCACAGAAATCAAGCGGCATCAAGCGGAGGATTTTGAATGCATCACCAATAATGGCGTGGCTCCGCCAGACACGCACCGCGTCAAGGTCACCGTCAACTGTAAGTCGAGCCGCTCTGCTCCTGTCAGCAGCTCACAGTGACATCCTAATGAGATCGTTGGGAGCGTTTCAGAACACTCTGTGATTGAGTAATGCAAATATAAATTGGATTGCGATCAGCCGCATATAGAATTAAACTCTTTATCTTTTCATTGTGTCCTCTCAACTCCACAGGGTTGAGTAATTGTACTTCATTATTACACTTAAGTATTATTTCAGAGAATTTGTCCTGCTCTTGAATACTGTAGAAACTTAATTACATTTCCACAACAAAAATCATTCTTGTATTTCTTTACAGTTTCATGTAGACCTTCAAATATATAAGTACATACAGTACACTACCATTCAAAATTTTAGGGTCAATGAGACATTTAAATTAATCAAATGATGTTAAAGACATAATGTTTCAAAAGATTCTTCTTTTGTTCTTCTGAACTTTCTATTCAACAAAATGTCCTGATTTTTTTTTTTCACAAAAATATTAAGTATATTAGAATGATTTGTGAAGGATAATGGGATACTCAAGACTGAAAATTCAGTTTTTCATCACAGGAATAAATTACATTTTTAAATACATTGAAATAGAAAACATTGAAATTGAAATTTTAAATTGTAATAATATTTCACAATATTACTGTTTTTACTAGATTTTTTTTATCAAATTAATGGAGCTTTTGTATACTTACTGACCTCAGACTTTTGAACTGTAGTATTTGTTGCTTTCCAGTAAAATATCTAAACATCATTAAAACTAGATAAATTAATTTGAGGAGCAAAATATTAAGGCAAAATGTCTTGAATTGATTTTACTTTCTTTGATTCCATTGACTAATAATGGTTTCTTATTTTATAGTACTTATACTTAATTATAATACTAGCATAATAGGATCAATATAATAGAATAATTTAACTATTTATAACTATGAACTATTTTCTAGTGTCAAACAACTATAAAATTAGCATCTGTTGATAAAATCAGACAAATAATAATAATAATAATAATAATAATAGTAATAATAATAATGCATAGCTCTTAGGACTCCCGTACTTTACAAAGTTTTTGCATCACAGTTTAATAACAAAATCTCCTGCGTTTTTTTTATTTTTTTTATCATGCAATTAATTAAGAAAAGGGACACTTTTTAGGGACGTTTTTAAATTAAATTAAATTAAATTAAATTTAAATTAAGAAAAGCTTTTTAAAACAATACATCTTCCAGGTTTGAAATGACATGACGCTGAGATCACATTTTTTTCTAATTTTTGAATGAATTATTGCTTTAATTGAACAACAAGTGCTAATACTTTAACTTCAGTACACTGTCTGTTTGGTCTTCAGATCCACCAGTAATCACAGACGTAAAGAACATGCCCGCCCAGCTGGGAAAAACTGCAATCTTACGCTGTGAAGCTATGGCGGTGCCCACCGCGTCCTTCGAATGGTACCGGGATGACCGAAGGTAAGCTAGCATTAACAAAGTGAGCGAAACAGACGCTGTGAACCATGGGAAGCAGCACATAGTGCTTTTACTTTAACATGTGATCTGTCATATTACTTCTTCCTCAGGCCGGTAGAGAGCGATAACACGCTGAAGATTAAAAACGAGAAAACACGTTCCCTGCTGCTCTTCACCAACGTCACAGAAAAACACTTTGGCAACTACACCTGTTTCGCCTCCAACCGCCTCGGGGCTTCCAATGCCAACATGCTACTCTTCAGTGAGTACCTTATATCACTGCAACTCTGCAGCGCTCGCTTTTGTGCTCTCGAAACATTAGTAAATCTACAAAGGCATAAAGTCAAGGATAAATGAACACCCTGCAGGAAGTGACTTTCCACTGTACAAAATAAGTGAATGTGCATTTCTCGCTCCCCGAGGCTAGTTTTCACGTTGAGCTTCACCGTAGACGGATAATAGCAGTGTGTCCGTTGATGGTACTTGAAAGCAAATGGTCTAGTGCTGTATGCTCAGCAAAGTGCAACCTTTTTAATAATGCATAACTTGACCAAACTTCAATTGCAGCGTGAAGCGTTTGAAAGTGTTTGTGACTTCTGACACACATAGACAACGTGCACAACTGCTGGGATAATTCACATGCGTAAGCTCGGAAGTTTCTGAATTTATTTTAATTGTGAATGAGTGGCATAATTTCATGCTTCTTTTTCTCTTTTTGGCTTCTTCATAAAGCCAGGAAGCTTGTTTACCACCAATGCATCAGAAACTAAAAGCAAAGATGCGCATTAGGTGTGAAATTCATGCTTTATCTTGTATTTTAACAGTCTTTTGTTACCATCCCAGTTAACAAAAATGTGTTCCTAGAACGTTTTGTTAATGTTCCCAAGGTTATTTTTGAATGTTCTCTAAACACTTTTAAATTGGTTTTTAAAAATTTTCTTAGAGGAAACGTTAAAGGAATGGTCCATTAAAAACATTAAAAAATTACCTTTTCATACCTTAATGGGAACATTAGCAAAGCATTCATAGAAAATATTTTTAAATGTTATTACTTACTGCGTGTTTCAGAACGTTTAGACAACATTCAAAAGTAATGTACCCATAACGTTTGCAAAATTCTAAAATGGAATGTTCCTATAATGTTTTCTCTAATGTTCACATTCTTGGTTATGCGAATGTTAGAGAAAACATTAAGGGAACGTTACTTTTGAATGTTCTCTGAACATTCTGAAACAAGTAGCGAGTCACAACATTGAAAAAATGATCAATTGTGACAATGTAACAATTACATTTTTGTTACGAAAACCCAGACAACTTTGAATGAACGTTCTTTTAATGTTTCAAGAAGAACATTTGTTCATAACTTTGAGAAAACATTCGCCAAAGTTCTGGGAATGTTCCCTGTTAGCTGGGATGGAGAATGATGGGAAATGCCTATTCCTCAGTACACAAAATATATACTGAAGCGAACATTTACAATTTAAAATGAATTAAGATCAGACTTACACAGCTTGAAGGCTGCGTGAGAGTTTGTTGCACCCAAAGAGTTTATTAACTGAATTTTCTGCTGCTGTTTTTCTACAGCAGATCTTTTGTCCGCTACAGAACATCAGTATCGAGTAATAGAGGATTCCTATAAAACATGTTCTGTTGTGGAAAATGCGCTTTGAGCTTCCATTGTCTGACTGTAAAATGTCTGAAAACAGTTAATCTCTCATAGCTCTGCTTTATTGAAGAAAAACCTCAGGGATTTTTAAAAATCTAGGGCTGAATGAAACAACAAGGACACGATAACAAATCACATCAGCACTACAGATTTCCTTGTACTTGAGCTTTTTCACTGTTGTTTTCTGAATAATATATATATATTACTATATTATTTAGTTTTTTTTATAGACAGAGAGACTATTTGTTTAATGCACTAGCGCTAGCGGCATTAATCGAGCAGCTTGCTTTAGTGATAAAGCAGGAATCTCATGCAAACATTTCACCCTGAGATCCGAAGAAAGAAATAAGAAACTATATTGTGCAGAGAAAATGAAGCCTGTTAAGATTTTTGTCCTGCATATGCATTCTGTTCATGACAGTTAAGCATGTTTTCCCCCAAAGTTCTCATTACTGTAATGCTTTTCTTTTGAGTTTTCTTTATCACTCTCATTATTCTCAATGGTGATTCTCATTACTCTAGTACAAAGACTTTTCTGTTTAAATGAGCATAAATTTTAGACAGTACCACGATGTACTAACGCCTAAATATCATTATTATTATTATTATTATTATTATGACTTCATGTTACAGTAATGGTAGCATTATTATATTGGCAATTGTGTGTAAATGTGCACTTATTGTAATAAAATTTATGTCATAATGCATCAAATTATTTCTTTCGATGGAGCTGAAATATGCATGACTTCATCATATTCTTGACTTGTTTTGTATATTTCACCCCAGTGGTTTTAGTATCATTGAGATACTATTATAGTTTTTATTCAAATTATTTTTATATTATATTATATTATATTATTAATAAACTGTATTAATATTATTTTTATATTTTGAAGCATTTTATATTTTATATTTTTACTTTTTATTTTTTATATTTTTATTTTGTTTTTCATTTTATTTTATAGTTTAAAGTTTTTAATTTAATATGTATTGCTAATAATTTTGTTGTGCTTTTTTGTCATTTTTACTTTGTGTGTGTGTATGTGTGTGTGTGTGTGTGTGTTTATTACATATTATTTCAGTTTTATTTATTTTAGTACATCAAGTTAAACTAAAATAAGAAATGTTGCTGAAACTAGCTGAAATATTTTTTTTATGTTGAAGTTTTTATATTTTATTTTATTTCAGTTCATTGATATTTTAAGTAAAATATACATTTTAATTTAATTTTTTTATTTTTTATTTTTTATTTTTTTATTTTTTTGTGGTTTTAGTTTTAGCTTCAGTTTATAGCTGTTCACCCAAAAATAAATGTCTCCATAATGTTGAAAATCAAACCATTTAAACCAGCCCACGGTGGTTTTCTGTTTTTGTATGAAGTTTCATCTAGTTTTCCAGGCAGACCTGATGAAAACTACCAATTAAAACCAACTAAGACCAGCAGACCACATTAGTCTGGTTTCAGCGGTTTTGCGCAGCAGGAGATGATGTTTTTAATGACTTGTTCCGGGTGATTTCAGGGAAAGCGAGCGGTTGTAGAGAAAGAGGAAGGTTTTCTGCAGGCAACAGGAAACTGCTGCTTGTTAGCAAATGAACGTATGAAACAACTGGTTGTGAATATTTCATTCATTTAAGCCTCTTTCTCTGCTGAGGCTAATTTACCACAGCAGTTTACTCGTTTTGTGTAGCAGTTAGATCCTGATTGCTCCTACATACTTAACGATGAATGTTTTCAAACTGCACTGTATATCTATAGCCAAATTAACCACACACAGCATAATCAACCAATTAGAGTATATCAGTTCTGCTGCTGCAATCATTGTAGAAATGATCAGCATTAGTATTTCACATAGTGCTGTTTGATTTCCATTCAGATATTGTGTTGTACTTATGCCTCATTACTTTCTTAAATCTGCTTTATGAGGTCCTTAAATTTGCTCAGCCATATTTACTGTGCTCTATTCATACGCAAGTGTAATATATTAACTTTCTATATAATTTGTTTTTATTTTTAATTTTTACTTGCATTTCATATTTTAATTTATATTTTATTAAATTATATTTATTTTCAAATTATTTTATAGTTTAAAATGAATGAGATTTGTATGCACAAAAATAACAATACATAGCAAAATGTATTTTTATTATTACTTCACTTATATTATGTTTTTCCTGTATTGATTTGTGAGAAATGGCACATTAAACAATTATTTCTAATTCTATTACATATTTAATTATTTACACTTATTTATAAACACATATTTTTATGACAAATATCACAAATAGACTTAAATATTAAATATATTAAATATATTGTCATATGAAGTAAGAACATGAAACCAATTAGAAATTGGAACAATTTCACATATTAAATATATACATATACATATAAACGTACAGCTTTATGTATACATATGATATGTTAATAAAGTTGCATATATAAAGAAGATGTATATTGTTGACATATATGGTTGCTACATAAAATACCATTTATTTACCAAAAACATCATATAAATATTATTAACATATGGACAAATTTTACTGTGGTGATTTTATATGTTATAACCTTTTATCTTCATCTACCCAGAGAATGAACATATGTGAAATTGATATACCGCCTTATAGGTAATATATATGGAAATATCACTCTTGATATAGGACATTACATATTATATATTACATTTCCGTATGGGTAATAAAAAATGAAGAAAAAATGTGTTACATTTGTTTCCAATTGAACAAATCTTCCAGAAACATAATTCATCATTTTACATGTAAGTTCAGCTAGTCAGCCAGTAAGTTGCTTAACTGCTGTATTAAAATATTGAAGTGCAGAATTCTATTCTATTGATGAATTTCCTACTGAAAAAACCTTTGACGTCTGCCTTTAAGCCTTTAAACTTCTGAATTTCTAGTCTCTGGTGATAAATTATGTTTCAGTTCCTCTTGAGAACAGGCAGCTTCACTCGATTTGAGGTTCATGCTCTTCCTGACCCTAAGCGTAACATATGCTGTTAAGCACAAAAACAAGAGCAGCAGCACAAAGTCAAATACTGGACGTAACAGCATAACTTCAGAGTCTGACCGCGTTCTGGGCCGGTCTAAGTGAGCGGGCGGCAGAGCTCTCGTTGGAAAAGTTTCTGCTGGAACGCTCAGTGCAGAGATCTTACCCATGCAGCAAAACCCAGAGAGGAGGAGGAACAGGTCACAGAAAGGCCAAACATTGAGTGATTGAGCATATAGAGCTGCACAACACAGAGAGAGTTTGTGCTTATGCAAGGCTTTCATCTTACGTTTGTTCCAGTTTTCACACCGTGCACAGATGAACAATGAACAAAACTCTCAAACCTCCACTGTTCTTTCAAAACACTTGGCTGTGTGATAAAAAAAATTAAAGCTCAGTATTATTTATATATTTAATATACATCTCATATTTATCAAAATTATGCTCTAAAATTGTTTAATGCAACAAGTAAAATACACGTAAACATTTAAAAATTATTCGTCACTATTTTCAATCTTTTATATTTTATTTAATTGCATATATTTTTCTTATTTTATAATTAACAAAAAATAATAATATTAAAAGAGTTAGATTTGAATGCACAAAAATAACATTGCATAGCTAAATTCATTTTGAATAATACATTACTTGCATTATATTTTTCCTGTATTAATGTGTGACAAATGGCACACGTGGCATAGACTATAGAATATTTATAAATATAAAAAAAAAAAAATTATTATTATAATTTAAAAACAAATATTTATAAGTAATTTTTTATGAATAATTGTTTATTTATTTACTTACTTATTTAGAGTATTTTTATTACTTTAGAAATATTTTTATTAAGTATTTATTAATTTAAATATTTAAATATTAAATATTTGTAATTGATGGCAAACCTTTGGTGGGACAAATGGTGCACATAGACATAAATATTTATAAATATAAACAATTATTTTTTTTATAAACAAATATTGATTGATTGATTGAAATAAATGTTTAAATATAGTAAATATTTATGATTGATGATAAACCTTTGTGACAAATGGCGCACACAGACTTAAATATTTATAAATATGTACAAACAATTATATTTTTTATAAACAAACATTTATGAATTATTTATTTATTTATTTAGCATTTGTTGTAATAAATGTTTAAATATAGTAAATATTTATGATTAATGGCACAAACAAACCATTGTGACAAATGGCGCACATAGACTTAAATATTTGTAAATATTTATAAATTATATTTATATTTTATAAACAAATATTTATGAATTTCTATAAATATTTATTTATTTATTAAGTATGCATTTATTTAAAAATAAATATTTAAAATATAGCAAATATTTATGATTGGTGACAAACAAAACTTTTACTCAAATATTTACTTATTATTAAATTATAAATATGTATAAATAATTGTTTATATTTTTATAAATATATATATGAATATTTTGCTAATATTTCTCTAAGTATTTATTAATTTAAATATGTTTTAATATAGTAAACATTAATTATTGATGACACAAATAGATTAGATTAGATTAGATTAGATTAGATTCAAATGTATTGTCATTATGCAGAGTGCAAGTACAGAGCTAATGAAATGCAGTTAGAATCTAACCAGAAGTGCAAGAATATAGTGTTCTATATACAGATAAGTGCAGAGTAAGTGAAGCTATAACTTGTATGTACAGTGGAGTTGCTATATATTTATACAGTATTAAACAGAGTATGTACAGAATATAAATGGGGGTACAAATGTAGGGTTATATATACAGTATGAACAGCAGCACATAAGAACAGTGGTAATAATACAAATGGTTGTGTGTGCAATAGACATCGCTATACATTGTTTAACAGTACTATGTATTTATAGTCTGTATTTACTGTGCTGTGTACAGTGTAATGGCTTAAACAATTTGCAGTCTGTGCAAAATATGAAGTACATATTTCAAGTACATGTGCAAGTACATGTTTGTAAAGTACTGTGACCAATGCAGTTCAGTAGGGTCACAGCCTCAGGGAAGGAAATAAATCACTGAATCAGATTTGAAATCAAATGAATTTAAATCATGTTATTATATAAGCACAAAGAGTATGCAGATTGCTATGAGAGACATTAAACTAGCACAGATATGAAGGAAAAGGTTTGGCCGGGTGAACAATTATACAGTTTAGTGTCATTATATAAAAATGTTTGTCCGCAGAATGCTGTGACTGACCAATCAGAATGAAGTATTCCAGAGAGTCGTGTAATTGTTTTGTGGCTGGCTGTACATTATCGCTTACATAATGCTTTTATAGCTCATTAGCAATAAACAGCAGGGCCTTTGCACAACCAGTGTTAGTAAAAGTGGCATACAGCTGCGTCATGATGCTCCATATCCATCTCATCTGTTTCTTCTGCTGTTTCTTGCTTCCTTTCGGTTCCTCCCGTCTTTTCTCTTCTCCGGCCCATTATGTCTCCTCTCATTTGTTCCCGCTCCGTTGTGTCTTGTTACCCCAGGAAGTCATCAGTGGCTTCTCTCGCTCCATTCTTCACATTTCAGTCCGCAGTGAGTGATTCCTGCTGTTTCTCCCCTCACGCATTACCATTGTAAGCGAGTCCGTCCGTCTCATTCCGTCTCACATTCTCTGGGAGAGTTATTCCCGTGATGAGTCACCTGCCGTCACTTCCATGCATCTTCTCTTGTTCATGTCGCTGCCACGCCGTCGTCTGGCCTCGACTCGCACTTTTCCATCAGACGTGCTGCGACCTTTATCTTCATCCTTCGGAGAAGAAACATCTGTCCCACCGCTGTCAGTCTTAGGATAACTCGGATAATAACGGAAATCCTGCAGTTCCCCCTATGCTGTTATTTTCTCCTATCATTTCTTTCATTTGTTTTATTTTTTCATGATCATTGTCTTCTGCTTTTTAGGAATGGTTTGCATATTGTATATGCTGTATGTACTTTTTATAATTCTTTTTCACTTGGGGTGAGGTTTTCAGTTTTTGAGACTGCAGTAGTGTATGTTTTCACAAATACTTCAAGTTATTTTAGTTTGAAAGATAAAAGAAAATGTGATTTGTCATGAAATGACCATTTTAAAGTGAACATCATGCAAATAAACTATAAGAATCCATCAGGAGTGCTATTAAAATATACCATATAAACAACCGTACTGTTTATTCTAGCTACTTTTTGTTTAAGATATAGTAAATTATTTTAGATGTATTACTTTTAGCGTTTTTGCTGTATATTACTTCTTACATTTTATTTTTAAAAATGTTTTATGTAAATGTTTATCATTTTAATAAAAATAATTGTAAAAAAAAAAATCTGCCATTTAAAAAGCTATTTTTATTAAATTTGTATTTATTTATTATATTTTTATTATATACATGTAATGTATTTTATAAGTTGTATATGCATTAAACCATATAAATAACCATACTGGTTATTCTAGCTACTTCTCATGCAAGATGCACTAAATTATAAAAAATATTTTAAATTCATTATTTTATCATTTTGATTTATTTTACTTGTTGCATTTTATTTTTATAGTTCATTTTTAATTTTAATAATAATAAAAAATAAATCATTAAAATATAAACTTTTTAGTTATTTTATATACATGTAGTGTATTTTATAAGCTTTATATGCGTTATACCATATAAATAACCATACTGTTTATTCTAGCTACTTTTCATGAAAGATACAGTAAATTATTAAAAACATTTTCAATTCATTCTTTTTTTTTATCATTTTACTGTATTTTACTTGTTGCATTTTAATTAGTTAATTACTCTAATTTAT